TGCCTCCACGAGTGAAAATACAACGCTTGCTTTTACTTTTAATGCAGCCGCTTGTTTCGACACAAGGGTTTGGCAAATATTTCCACTCGTGGTTATCATGGTAACGACGTCACGCATGCCGCCGGAGTTTCATCACTTGGCAGTGAATGTGGAGAAAAAGTCAAAGTTCAAAGAAAGAGAGTTGCAGCTTTGATGCACGCTGAACTGTTGTTGCGCGTTTTTGTCTTCTTTGCAAGCTGTTGAAAAGAACTGATCAAGCCTCATTTGTACACGCACCGGCGCCCACACCTGACACTTAAGTCCCAGCTAAAGATGGATGGGACAGGATAGGGGAGATGATGTACGCCCTCCCACCAACCCATTCATCTTCATCAAGGCATGGGCCACAATATAAGGTACGACCGAACACTCGCTTACCAACATTTATGAACGAGTTTAGTATATTGTGTGTGCATTTTGAGGGATCTCTCATGGAGCTCAATGACATAACCATATGCTAGAAACAGCCCTCATTTAAAAAAATTATTTTGTTGGTTTGTTTCTAAATGATTTGCAAAATGTTGTCATTGTTCTTTTTTTGTTTTTGTTGTAAGTATGTAAAGCAGTTCAGTTTTTCATTTCGTCGGGTCGAATCCTTGCACATCCAAAATCATCACTTTTCAGGAGACCCCAACAACGTAATCTTTTACATTGCATCAAAGAAAGCAAGCCATTCTCAACACTTGAGATTGGTCAATAATTTGGGGTGGGGGGGGGGGGGAATGACACCCCCGCGTCTCCCACGCGTCTGAATTGAGCAATAGTATAGACGGGTGGGGGGAGTAAATTTACCAAATTGTGACATACAGTAGGAGGTTATGGCCCAAAGCCAGTGATATTTAAGATTTTTTTTATTCTTAATTTATGTTGCATTCATTTTATCATGTCTGTTATTTATTTATTTGTTTATTTATTTTGTTTAATGTTCAATAATCAAGAGTAACATTATGTTATGATTTGTTTTCATGTGTTGTTTTTGCATTAAACATTATTTAATGCTAACATAGGCTGATAGAAATAAATATCAAAAACTTGGTTCATTACCACTTTTCATTAATGTATCTTTTGATTTTTATTCATCCTATAAATTATGTTTATTATATTTTGATTTATCAGTTATTTAGTCTTCATTTTTGTAAATTTATTATATGTGTATTATCACAGGTTTGAATATTTATATTGTATTATTAATGTACATATGTACTGAACATGAATCATTATTTTATTTCATTTTCCTTTTGTCTATTTTTCTTATTTGTTGTATTTTTTTCGACACCTTATTTTTAATCAATATTTGGTGTTCATGCTGAAATATTTCTGTTTTATTTTTTAATTTACTGTGTAGTATTTGTTTTTTATTTTAATTTTTTTTCTTTGGGTAGGTTAATTTCAAGTATCGCTTTATAACACCAAAACGTGATTATAATTGAATTGAATTTGCTTTCCACGAGTGTATTTCTGTATTTGTCTTCTCAGCATGAAATGCGCTGACAGTTTTAGGTCCACGTGCAATGGAAAAAGTGTCAAATCGGCGTGCGAACGCATACAGAAATGTAAATGTATACTGTGAAAGCCCGTCAATGGTCCCTCACCACCAGGATGAATCCACTCTTGGCGTGCAGACGAGCAGCAGCCAAATGAGCATGTACACTTTGGCTTTGGAGTTTCCACGAAGCGTCCTCTTGCCCATCGTAGAGTTCGGAGATTGCGCTCTCATGTTTGGTCACGGCTCGGTGCTCGTCCGACGTCCATCGTTAATGATTAAAAAGAAAAAAAAAAGCCCATAAAAAGACTTGTAAGCGCTGTCGTCAAGCTCCACCAGTGAGTCCCGACGTCCTGTCGGCGTTCGCTCGATTCAGTTGATGCAGGTAGGGTGCCGCGTAATTAACGGCGGGATCAAACCATGGTTACATTCGTGAAAGTTATTGGATTGGTTTGTAGTTAACATTTGGTATTGAGAAAAAAATACAAATACATTTGTATCCGTGGTGCAAGACAGAAGATGCGCAAACGCTCCGCACGCACGTTCGCACGCACGCGCTTCTCCGGCTCGTCAAACGGGTGTGATGGGATGTGACACACCCACCTTCTCCGCCCCCCCTCCCCCCGCGACCACCCCACAATAGAACCAAGCCCACCACCACCCATCACTTTTTTTTCTTTAATAGTTTGAAAGGTGCAAGTAAGAAATCATCTGGGCTAATTTTAGTTAAACCCAGTCTGTCTGTCTATCTGTCTGAATCATGAATGGAGAATAAAAAATACGTAATCCAACCTCTACAAAATCATCAAAAACTCACAAAATAAAAAGCATATATATATATATATATATATATATATATATATATATATATATATATATAAGCATTAACAATAAAATACAGTACATTAAAATACTAAAGTAATTAAAAAAAAACTAAGTAGAAAACAATTTATGTCAACAAAAAACAAACGTAATTAAAAAAAACATTTTTTAGGTAACAGGACCAAACAAAATAACTCCTCCTGTAACAATGAATCCTATAACAATTAATACTCTACCAATGTTATGGTTATCATCATTAATACAAAATATTATTAATCAGAATGAATAATGACTAGCTAAAATTGTTCTAAAATAATTATACAAAATGTTGGCTATTTGATACCAACTTTTCTCCGACCGATACCATACTTTTACTTTTAAGTAATCACTGACACTGCGTACCGATACCATTAGTACTTTTGAAACAAGAAATTTTAAATAACATATTGTCAAATAATAGCGACTCAAGACCTTTCCTTCTAATGCTCAATTTTTTGCCGATGTGTCAACTACTGGCAAAGAGAACTTACAAAGTCAGATTTAATTGATTAAATGTTTTTGCCTGATGTATTGTTGGCTGCTTTCGGCAGCCTTCACGAGTACCCAATGACCATACTGATAATTGGTATCGGAATTTGTCTATACCTTATAAAAATAATCAAAAATGTAAACATGAATGATTGTAAAGTGCTTCACAAAGAAAATTCATATTATTAAAAATGATACAAACAAATTTGAATTGTTACATTTTAAAATTGAAACAGTATGGGCATTGATTGCAAAAAAAAAATTTGATAGATTTAAAAAAATATGTAGATTGCTTTACAAAAATAATGCAAATGAAATCATCGAAATACAATCAAAACGACGCTAAATGAAAAACTAGAATGATTCAATGGAATAATACATAATTTTTGATAAAGATTAAATATGAGCCTTCTTTAATAACTGACAAATTATTACATAACAAAAGTGAAAAAATTGGAAGTTTTCCATTTTTCTTATAATTTATTATTATTATTTATTTATTTAATTTTTTGGGGTCATTGTGTGCATTGATGTCACTGACATGACGTGACGTCATTGTTGGTTCATCCCGCCCGCCAGCTGCGCTCACCCAGTGGCTCCTCGAGTCAGGCGGGGGGTCCACATCTCCTATTCTGGGCCGCTCTCATGGCCCTGAGCTATATTTGGGGGGCAGAAGGAGACCCGTCGGATGTTGGGAATGTCAGACAGGGGCGGGGGTGGAGGGGGTGTACAATAATTAACCCCCCCTCCCCTCCCTGAACTCACGGCATTGCGATCGTGTATCTTCATTGTCAGACAGTGTGCAAAGTCATAATGCAAAATGGTGAGAGCAGTGGTTTTATTCCAGGGGCTTGATTTATAGCAGTGCCTCCCATGAACACAGCGAATATAAAAAGTCTACACACCCCTGTTCAAATGCCAGGGTTTTGTGACTTAAAAAAAAAAAGACCAAGACAAATAATTTTTATACTTTTAATAATCTTTGTAACTCCTAAAAAAATGAAATCTATTTAAAAGGGGAAATACACAACTGAGATCATATGGTTGCAAAAAAAAGGGCACGTCCTCTTACTGTATAACTTGGGATGTGGCTGTGTTTAGAATTGACCAATCTCATTCAGTCATGTTCAATGGAAGTCAGCAATGACCTCACACTATTTAAAGTGCTGCTGAGTAACTGCAAACAAAGTTCAGATGTTCTAGTAGGCTTTTCCTGACACGTTTTTTTTTTTTTTCTCTTGAAGACTGTTTTGTGCTGACTGCGATCTGGAACTGTTCCTGAACTCCCTCCACTTTGACTAAGGCCTCAGTTCCAGCTTGAGTGAAAGCGCACCAAAACATCAAACCATACACATTTTCTTCATGCTTTTGTGTGATCTGAATTGTTTTTACTAAAAGTTATTAAGTTATTATGGATAACCTCTGCCGTGACTATCTTAAAAAAAAAATGTTAAAAAAGGGAAAAAAAAATTACCTATTGGCGCCATCTTGTAGCCTGTAGTTAGCAAGGAACTGCACGGTATTGTGACCAGAAATATGAATGCAATACTTTGATTTTTGCTTCATTTTTCATGGACTGAAATTTTTTTCTGAAAACAAATAATCGACTATAAATCTTATATTACTGTGAATGGTTGTCTATACGTGATTGTCTGGTGTCCAATCCAAGTGGGCGTGACTCCGATTGAAAACAGGCCATTGACCTTTATTAGGACAATTAATTGGCAAAGTTATCGAAAATGGATCAAGGGCTCTCATCTGCTTCAAAAATGCCTCAGTGATTAAATCCAATACTGACTCCTAGAGGACATTCTATAGAGGTGCAGCTAAAATGTACTGAAGCTATATACTGTATTATTTATGGGTGTATTGGTGGATATTAATATAATGTATATTAAGCAAGCTGTTTTAATGCTTATGTTTATATTTTATAGTTTATATTTATATACTTTTTGTCTTCTACTCTCTCTCTTTCATAATTTTGCTGCTGTAAATTGGGAATTTCTCCATTGTGAGACAAATAACGGGTTTCTTATATTATAAATCGTGATACCATATTGGTCTTGCACGTCTATTTTTTCACTCTTATGAAAGACCGTATGTGTTGACCGCAGTTGAAAATCACGCATCGTTGTTGCGTTTCATTTATTAAACCTTCCAGCACATACAGAAGAGGAATGTTATACAGTACAATGAGTGCACAGAAATAGCAACTTGGCTGTAATATTAATCTCTTCAAAATACATACATAATAGTACCGTGCTCATGACAATATAATAATGTGATCATCATCACTATATGTACAGTAAAGTTATTGTATAAAACTAGATTTCTATCATGTCGTAGGAAAGGAACCTTTATAAAAGTTGACTGTACTGTTTTATAACAATAAAAGCGGCATTTAAAAACTGCATATAAAGTTTATGAGTACAAATACATTAGGACAGCTATTAATCAAACATACAATACAGAAATCCCCCAAATATTCATGGTTCACTATTTAAATTTAAATTCACCAGTTCCTGTTTTTGTCTGTGGAGCCTGGATCCTCAGTTGTTTCTTAAAAACTGGCACTTATTCGTGGCTAGTGCCCTAACTCAGCATATCATGAGGGATTCTTGTATTGCTGTTTGAACAACCATGTGAGCCGATGCATATTTCTATACAGCCATAATAAATATAAAAATCATATATATATATAACAGTTTCAATAGTCTCATGAACAGTCTGTTAATTGGACGATAGCACCACATCCAGTTCTTTGACGCCATCTTGGGCGGAAGTGAGGCCGCAGCTTCCCGAGAGGTGGCCGTCATTATAATGGCTGCCCGACCTTGGGACGGCGGCCGGCGAGGGCGGGCCTTGAGCCAAGCCGGGTTTCTTGGGCGGGATGGGCGGAGGGTTTCCCCTGTCCCCCCTTGGGATTGTGGGCGAGCGGATCCCCTGACATGGGGCCGCCGCCCGGCTCGCGACGGGTGACAAGGGCGCGGCCAAGCAGCGGTAGTCGGTCCCAAAGGGCGAGTGGTTGGCAGCGGAGAGTTTGGGTGCCTGCTGCGTGGTGGTGAAGCGGGATAGGACTTGGGTGACAGTGCTGCGGGCCATCTGCTTGGTTGACTCGGCCGGAGGAGGAGGAGAAGGAGCAGGGTAGGTGCCGGCGGCATCTGGCTGGGCAGGTTCGGGGTCAGTCGGGGCCGCTTGGAACTTGTGGCGGGCGGCATGGAAGCGCTGGTTGATTCCGGCCTGGTACGAAGACCTGCAACCCGCCTGAGCGCTGGGACGTTTGGTTAGGATGGGGGAAATGCACTTGGAAGGACTCAGTGTCTGTTGATCTGGAGAATTCCCATTTGGGGGTCCGCTGTTAGGAGGATCGTCAGCCTCCGTCGCTAAACGGTGCCCGTTGACGTTTGTCTCTACGGTTCCTTGGTGACCTTCGTCCTCGTTGTGTTCCAGTTTCGCTTCTGCCGTCTTCTTTGTGAAAGGAACCTTTGTGGTCCACTGCTCACCTTCCTCTTGAAGGTCTGCCACCGCATTGACATCTCTCAGCTTCCTCTGAAGCTCCTCCACCTCCAAATAGACAAAAAAGATGTTAAATGGGGCGAAAGCAATCTGAAAAAAAAATCAACCTGCAAATTTGTTTCCCACACACAAGCAAAAACAAATCTGTATTACAATAAACACTATCATATTTCATATACGTAAATGTTTTGGTTTTATAAGTGAGGCTTACATTGAAATAAATGTAATGGCGCGAGAATGTTGATGTAGCACATGAGCGCAGCCCACCTGCTGCTGCAGTCTGGCGCAGTGCGCCTCCTCCTTCTTGAGTCGCGAGCGGAGCTGCTCTCGCTCCGTGTCAAACTCGGCCAACTGCTCCTCCACCCTGGCCTCCATCCTCAGCGCTCGCCTCCTTTCCTCCTCCAACTCCTCCTTCAGCGCCTGGCAGGCCTCCCGCTCCTGAGCGACACCCATAAAATGTGAAATGTGACATCGGGAAAATGAATGAATTCGCACCCAACCGATAGGGATTTTTTTTTTTTTTTTTTTGAGGCCGATGCCATTTCTGGTATTTGGCAGGAAAAAAAATATGATAACAGATTAATCGTCCGATTATTAAAAACATATACATAATATATTTTTGGTCCTTTCATGTTCACAACAAGGATATGAAGTACACGCAAAACATTTGACGGTTTTCCAATAATTTGCCCCTCAGCATTTATTTTAACTTTACAAGAGTGGAATTTTCAAGTTCAAAAACATGCAAAAAAAAAAAAAACAACAAACATTAATAGATGGAATTTAGATTTTGGTGAAAAATAAATGCCGTAACCTTGGCAAAATGATAATGATGTGACTATGTGACTGGAGAAACATTATGTATGTATGATGCCCTTTAATTTTACACGACGTCTTCTACCCCGTTATTTTCTTTGCCATGAAATGATGACTTCAAGATAACAACCAGAAAGACATTTCTCAGATGTCCTAATGTGTCTTTGACAGAGTTGAATTTTAAATATATGATGTACCGAAGGCAGCCCGGTGGCCAGTGGTTAGCGCATCGACCTCACAGAGGCCGTGAGTTCGATCCCGGCTCCGGCCTTCCTGTGTGGAGTTTGTATGTTCTCCCCGGGCCTGCGAGGGTTTTCTCCGGGTTCTCCGGTTTCCTCCCACATTCCAAAAACATGCATGGCAAGCTGATTGAATACTCGAAATTGTCCCTAGGTGTGTGTGAGCGCGGATGGTTGTTCGTCTCTGTGTGCCCTGCGATTGGCTGGCACCCAGTTCAGGGTGTCCCCCGCCTACTGCCCGAAGACGGCTGGGATAGGCTCCAGCACCCCCCGCGACCCTTGTGAGGATAAAGCGGATCGGAAAATTGATGGATAGGTGGATGGATGATATACAGAAAGGGAGAGGGTTCATCCAAAACGGAAGCCAAATCTTTACCATCAAGAAATGTTTCCACAGTCACGCAAATGCTAAAACGTTCCCAATTTTTTTTTTCCTGTTTGCTCTTCTCGATTTTATATGCTGTGGATTTAAGAACATGAACTATTTTTACATCTCCACATGTTGCTAAAGCTGGGAAGCTGTCAAAGAAATATCCCGCTCAGCAGCTTCTGCAGCACAAAAGTAATCACAAACACGGTAATCTGCCCATGTTGTTGCAAATGATGACGATGTTAAAGCCCAACTAGGCAATAATTCGGTGAACAGCATCACCGTCTCAGCAAAGACGCTGATTGGATTGAATTGAGTCAAACCGCCATCTAGTGGACAAACGGTGCAACGACATTCTGCGCAACTCCTATCCTGAACAGCCTTTACGGTCTCATGAGAAAGTAATAATTTATTATCTTTTAATCAGCAAAATGGCGGATTGTGATTTTGCCAAGGGCTAATAACAACCAATAAAATCGGCCAACCGATGGCTCAGTTGGGCCCGACAGAGAATATGGAAAACGGCATCAACCTTGTCCAGCTTGCGACCGGCCTCGGTGAGACGGTGGCCCTCCTCCAAGGCTCTGGCGCTGGCCCACTTGCACTCTTTGGCCAGAGCGCAGGAGAGCTGCTTGTGCTGCGCTCGCTCCTCCTCCAACTGATCCGTGACACGTCGCTGTTCTTTTTCCAAGCGCCGCACCTGGCCACGCTCAAATTCCAGCTATGGAGAGAGAAGAGTCACCACATGTAATGATCAGGCGTGTTCAAGGGGAATTATGATGGTAAATTGACTTTTTAATTGCTTGGAGGCAAATAGTCAGGTCTCTGCCCACCCATCAAGTGTGAAATTAAACCACCATGCCAGTCAGGTTTTTTTTTTTTTTTTTTTTTTTTTTTAAAAAAAAAAAAAAAAAAAAAAAAAAAAAAAAAAAAGTGAGGTGGTCCAGATTTTGCCACAAGGAAATGAGCACCCCCCCCCTTCCCTCCCTCCTCCTTCCCACCTTCCGGTCCTGTCCTTCCCCTGCTGCCTCCTGCTGCTGTCGGTCTTTTCCTGGCTAAACCGCCATGAGGAAGGGATAAATAATTAAATTCCATTAGGAAAGTAATCTGTCAATGTGAGTGAGTGAGTGCCAGTGCCCCTACATGACCAAAATGGGAGGGAAGTGGGTCGGCGGTACTTCGATGTTTGGATGTGTGCCGCGTGTGTGCATGTTTGACCAAAACAAACACTCGATAAGCCCAAAAGGAATCACTGAGCAAAATCTTATCTGTCTTTTGCTGCTTTAACTTTAAGAAAATGTGGCAGCGGAGGGCAAAGGGCGAGCGAGAGGACGTCACGAAACGAAGAGTTTTTAAATCTTGTTACATGGTTCAATTAGCTAGTGGTGGTTTTGATCAAGTGTCATTAATTTACAGGCTGGATGGGTAAATATTTCCCGACCTGAAGGGAGTCTCAGGGTCTCTGATGATGCCACAAAATGAGGCAAGATTAGTTGCTCCTGGATTTTATTTTTAAAAAGGTTATTAAAAGTCAGAGAATAAAGCCACAAAGTCAGCAAGTACGTAATCAGCAACTGCTCGCTTGAACGCAATTCCCTAGCTCCGCCCGCAAACCGAGTGATTGACTAGCATGAAAATATATATTTTGGAATATAATTATCATTTAAACGAGGGCTGAAGGATTTTGAAAAACAATATAATAATGCTATTTCGATTCCATTTGCACATATTTTTTAAGGTTCTCTTTCAAATATATATTTTTTAAATATATCGTGTGAACAATTTAGTGCTATCTAAAGGTGAACTAATAGAATGCAATGACCTCAGCTCGGAGCGCACTACAGTGTCATCCCAAACGATTTCTAGTATTCCCTCGAGTGACGAAATAACTGTGTTGCATTGCATACACACGCTGTCGTCATGATGTTGAGGAACTACATTTTCTCCTTCCAGGAGACGTAACAGAAAGATGGCGGCGAAACATGGCAGCCTGCTGTAGGGCAGGCTCGCCCACTGTAATATCCATCCATCCATTTTCTAATCTGCTTTATCCTCACGAGGGTCACAGGCGTGCTGGAGCCTATTCTGACTGACTTCGGGCAGTAGGCGGGATACACTCTGAATTGGTTGCCAGCCAAGCGCAGGGCACACATAGACAAACAACCATTCACACTCACACTCACACCTCGGGACAATTTAGAGTGTTCCATTAACCTGCCATGCATGTTATTGGAATGAAACCGGAGTACCCGGAGAAAGCCCACGCAGGCATTGGGAGAACATGTAAATTCCACACAAGAAGGCCGGGAATCAACCCTGCACTTCTGCACCAAACCAGTTGACCAACGTGCCTCCCACTATGTAGTATAATTAGAGATTACTTCACCTACGATTGTATAAAAATAAAATGACGAGGTGATTGAACATTTTTTGACATGTTATTAAAATCGTGGGTTTTTGAAATTCTGAAAATGTAAATTATTAATAAAGGAATGTCAGAAGGTGGCTCCCTTCTGACATTCTGACATCCGGTGGTCAACTGGTTATCGCATCTACCTCACAGTGCAGAGGTTGTGGGTTCAATCCTGGCTCCTTCCTGTGCGGAGTTTGCATGTATCATCTCGTGCAAGCGTGGGTTTTCTCCGGGTACTCAGATTTCCTCCCACATTCCAAAAACATGCATGACAGGTTCATGGAACACTCGAAATTGTCCCTCGGTGTGGTTGTGAGCGCAGATCGTTGTTCGTCTATGTGTGCCCTGCGATTGGCGGGAAACCAGTTCAGGGTGTCCCCCGCCTACTGCCTGAAGACAGCTGGGATAGGCTCCAGCATGCGTGCGCCCCTTGTGTGGATAAGCGGATTGGAAATTTGATGAATGGATGGAATGCCAGAAACTTTTTATGATGATATTCAAAACGTGGAAAAAAAAGCTGCCACAATGTCTTTTTTGAAGAGAGAAACAAGAAGATCTTTTCCAGCAGATGGCATGTGGAACATCTCACTTGCTGTTGTAAACGCTCCCGCTCCTTCTCCAGGATGTAGGTGACGTCGTCACCCTCGGCCGTGTCTTCAGCGTGTTTCCTCTTCTCTTCCTCCAGGTCCATGATCACCTAAAAAGGAGGAGACCGATAAATTAGGTGAGACAAACTCTGTCACGAACACGATCCCTTTGCATCTGAAACTCACAAGTAGCTCAAACATGCAACTCACTTTTATGCTGTTTTCCTTTCCATATTTTTTCATTGCCGTCTGTTTTAGAACCATGTGTTCATCAACTTTGGCAGTTGTCAATCACTTTGTACTGCACATTATTGCCACCTACAGCACTGTGGATGACTTATTCGTTTTGCATCTGCGCAAAATCAGTCAACCTGCTCAACACTCTCAAGTGTTCATGACGACAGACCAACCGTTCTGTGCCTGCTTTCCGCCGCCGCCAGCTGGGCCAGCATCTTCTCCTGCATCCTCCTACAGTGGCTCACCACCAGCTTGAGCACCACCAGCGGGTTGGAGGTGGCCGGGTGGTCCTTGCCCCGGTGGGCCCCCACGACCTCGCCGTCTCTCTGCAGAGCCAGGAACGGATCGCTGAGGTCGTAGCGGCCGTAGCGCTCCTGCACAAAGAACTCCTTGCGCTGAGCCTGATGACACAAGAGGTCATGATGTAGTACTTGTGGTAGCTGTGCTTCATTCTCACACGTCGCAAAACGGCAGCGTGACACGTGGAAGAAGCAACAGGTGGCGAGGGCCTCTTTCTGGGCCCAGAGCCAGAGGAGATGTCTTAAAGCAGGTGGGCCGGCGCCAAGATGCTTCGTGGCGTGAAAAAGGAAGGGCGAGCGAGTCTGGGGCGGTTCAACAAAAGAGGATCAGGAGATTAGAAACGGCATCCTCTTTGGCAGAGTGACGACAGAGCGCCTGATGACTGATAGCCAGATTATTAGATAAGTGGAGAGCGTCGGCAGGACGGTGGGTGGTCCGTCTTGCTGGTGCTGACTGATTTCATGCGAAGAATGATGCAGAAAGGCACTCAGCATAATCATCTGTTTACTATTCTGTGTGCAGTTTGCAGCAATGTACTAAATAAGTTAAAATACTTCGATATAAGAATAACCTTAATGCCTCACGGGATGAAGCAGACAGTTAACGAGAGACAGTGACACGTCAACAGTGAACCCTGTGTGTTCCTGGGTCCGTATTTAGTTTTTTTTTTGGGGGGCATTTCATGATTTTGCGGGAAACCTAAACTTCCATTATTTGCTCATAAAACTGCCATTTCACTGTTTTTATGTTCCGGCCTAATAGTATTGTTTTGGTGCCAAGGAAACAATTTGAAGTGAGTTGAGCAATTCACTTAGACAAAAGCAGTTCTTTGCTGCCCTCTTGTGGCATCTATAGGTAATTACTTGTTGATTTTCACTATTTGCGACACAGCTTGGTGCCTAATACGTTATGTGTTGAGGTTCACAAAGAAAGCCTATGCGTGATGTCACACGACTCAAGAGTCTTAGCGTATCGAAAGGAGGACTTTTTATTTGTCGTTTTTCCGTTATTCCACTGTGAAGAGTCTCGCCTCTCAGGTATGTAGCAGTCCTACCCCATTAAAAGTTAAAGGGGAAGTGCATTGTTTTTTTTATTTCCTTTCAATTAGTCAGGGAGGTCACGTTGAAAAAGGTAGGTGAGTAATTTAGTTTCGTTTTTTTTTTTTTTTTTTTTGCAAACGCGGCCCACGTCCTGTTCTAGTTCCCGTCAGTGTGCTTATGTGTCACTTTAGCAAAGATCTTAGATCAGACTTTCCATTCTGGGTGCTTGTGTTGCACAAGGACACACTTAGTCATTCCCGGCGTTCATCACTGCGGCGGTGGCGGGTTTGGGCCGGGAAAAAAAAAAAAAGTGACAAAATCTGTGCTTAGTCTGCACTCATTTCCATTAGTCTGCTCAATTATAACTCGAGGGGCTGTCTGAAAACAAATAGATCATGCATTTGAAAAATGGTTTGCAAAGCATGACGTGGATAAACCGATCTGATCCTTGACATTGAAAACCTTGGTAATCTTGTGCCAGGTATCGTTAAAAATTCTTTAACGGATTGCAAGATTATCGGTACATGATCTCCTTTTGTTTCGTCTAAGACTGAATGCAGCTGACGTGCGACTGTGTTCTGTGCGCCCGCTCTTGGAATCTCACTACAAAGCCAAACTATATAATGTCACTTTTTGAAGTGGACAGCTTCGTTGTAATTTATCGCTGGATCACTCGTAGCCATAGCTGACATGTGAAATTTCATATGCGTGTTTGGGATTTTGCACAAATGAATCCAATATTCCCTCTTGGTGGCTACTGCAGATTTGTGGGCCAACGACGAGTGTTGCCAGGAGGTCAGAAAAAAAAACAACTTCCTTTTCAACGCCGAGCAGCTGCAGGAGTGAATCATGAAAAGGGGAAAGAAAATGCAGCCGCCATAGTTTCACAATTCCATTTATAGTTGTGAGATATTCAACATCACCTCCTCCCCCCCATTAACCTCACTACTTTCACTGCATCCAGGATGCTTTATCTGTTTCATATTCAAAGCAAGAGAACAGCTCAAAGAAGTTGGTGATGTGTGGATGAAATTTCCCACGTGACCTACGCTGGCTTTCAACACTTTGTGAGACGGCCTACAAGAATTTGGGTTGAGTTTGTTCTCCTGATAATAATCATCCTTGTGAGCGCAAAGCATTCCTTAATGGCACTTCAGCAGAAAAATGGCAGGAAGTTTTGTTTTCACTTCTGTTTTATTTTATTTTTTTTTCAATCTCCACACAAACATGAATTCTGGAGATGGAAAATCTGAACTGTAGAGAGGACAAGGTGAATGCAAACATAATCCTAAAACCAATACTGGATCTTCTAAGGAAAAAAATCAATCTTTAACGTTTGATAGCATCTGCACATGACTGTACATTTACTTGAGCAACTGCTTGAATAATCTTGTCTTGTCAGAGTCGTTTTCATGCAACATCCTTTTAGATAGTTGCCTTGAGCTACATTCGGCTTGCTACGTTTATTTGATTGTATCCATTCTTGCTTGCGCGACAATTTCTTGCACTTCATCGGTGAAAATAGTGCTTCGCCCACTGTCGTGTGACTGTGTTGAACCAACCCATCGTAACTACAAGTGACGTGTGACTTCATTTATCAATTAAACGGAACCAGGCACTCACATGACCGTACACAAAGTCTCCGGGTCCCCGCAAAGGGCAAAATTTTCAAATTTATGCAAAGTATGGGAAAAGCAACCGAGGAATCAACACCCTTCGGAAGATGCAGAACACCTCTGGCCTCAATACCTCTGGCCTCACACAAAAGTTATGTTTACCTCAGAGACTAAGAAAAAAAACTGAAAAAATGTTTTGCGCTCTGATTGTACCGTGCAATAACTCCACTTCGATGGTGATAAAACACATTGTTGTTGTCTATGTCAACCCTGCCCAGTGAGCCCATTATGGTGTTTCACAAGTGCAAACAAATAAAATTGCTGAAAGACTATTTGTTGTGGCTGAATCTGCCTGAATTAAAATATTGGATAATTTGTATAAAATTGAACCTAGCGTTGCATTTCAATCTGAGTTAAATGACAAAGGCAGGGGAGCCACAACACACACACACACACACACACACACACACACACACACACACACACACACACACACACATCAACTCACAGTGAACATTCACAGCTCGTCACCTTTCAGCAACGTCATTTAATGGCGTTTTTTTTTTTCATTGTCTGCAGATGACTGTTCAACCTTTGACCTTCTTTCTTCCGCACAACGGCCGCATAGTACCGGTGGAACTTGGTCCGGCATGATGGACTCCTGTTTTCGCTGGTGAACTGACAACCGATGGTAACTTTGAAACACTGTTGGAATAAGCGCCAATCGAAGCGATTTTGGGCCGTCCTCCGGACTGCCACGGGCCCGAAAAGCAAAGAGGAAGGTAAGTAAGGAAATGAAAACAGCTGGAGGAGGAGCGATAATAGTATAAGAATGTAATTTTGGAGTGTATTTAAAGTGGTCCGAACTTTGTTCATGAATCAAATTGTGTGCTTGTTGACCTTGTAAAGAGTTTTTTTTTTTTTTGTTTTTTTTTTTATTGAGGGTCCTAAAATAGTGGTGACAAAATGTGATTTAGCGATGAAGGAAGCACGTTATAAAAAACGAAGACAGGTTGGTTCGGCCTGAAATAGCGATGCCCTGATGAAGACGGACTTTCGGGTCCGCCGCTGGCAAATGATGTAAGTTCAATAATGTGACAAATGAGTTTTATACTCACTAAACTATGGTACTAATTGACTGGCATCCTATTATTCTAAACTTTTGCAGGGGTGTCAAACTCATTTCACATTGTGGGCCACATGCGGACGAGATGTCAAGTGGGCTGGACCATTAACATTATACCATACTCTGCTATCAATAACCAAAATATCATGTCTTTCCTTTGTTTTGGTATAAAGAAGCATTGGCGGATTGATACCGTCTGCTGTGTTGGGTTTGCCTCAGTGACAGACTGGGACTGCTGTTTTCTTCTCTGATCAAAACAATGTTGTTTTCTACTCTGATCAAAACATTGTGCCCCCCCTAGCGGATAATCTAGGACTTGCATTTTATTAAAAATATTCATTCTGTGTCTTTAATGCAGTTTTTCATTTTTTAAATTATCCTGCGGGCCAGATCGAACCTCCTTGGGGGCCGGTTCCGGCCCGCGGGCCGTATGTTTGGCACCCCTTTTCTAAAGTAACAGTACTCTTACTTGAGTACAATTTTTGGATAGTCTCCCCACCTCTGACCTTGATATAAAATACCTCAGCAATCACAAATTTTTAATTTGCCATCGTGAAGTAGCGTTAAGACTGCAGTTGAATCCACAAAATAGTCAAAACGTATGAAGAAATAGTTGTATGACTTTATCACCACTCAAGTGTCCCCTGATATATAGTAGTCTGGTGTCCATGTTACATTTCATGGCTATGTGGCTGCTGTACAACATAGAGCAGTCATATTTTTAATATTATTAAAAATCAGTGGGCTGATGGCTTTGGCAGAGGTTGAAACTTGGTTTCAGTCGAGCTCCAACTCCATGCTCATGAGTCATTCCGCAGGCTAAGTGGTGACTACTTTCCCCTCAAGAGAGCATTTCTTGGGAATGATTAGACCCTCCAGAGAGTCAACAGTGGCACAGTGATGGCAGCCCCCGGGCCTGAATGGGTTAACATTTCACTGATGTTTATTTGCTCGCTTGGAGTCATCGGACACCCGGCGCGCTGGCTCTCTTCTTGCCTTAGATGGCCACGTCCCGGGAGGGAGGCAGGAATGCGGTCTGGAGGTCTAGACATAACACTCTGGAGTGCTTCAAACACTTTCGCAGAGCCCGGTGGATTAGAATAAACGTTTCCGCAGAGGTGTGGGCACTATTTTGCGGAATTTCCATTGCGCTTGCTCTCTCTTACTCCTTTTTATTAGGTAACAAAAACCTCTTAAATACACATGCGTGTGAGCCTCCAGCACAGCAAAGGACTGTGGGAAATAACCCGAGAATCCGTTAATTGAAACACAGCATTAATCCCGTTCATGTTAAGGTCTGCGCTGGCCACTATGGGTCAGACATCACACAGGCTTTGTCGCACTTAGTTCTCCGTTTGCCCATTAAAGCTCATAAGAAGCCTGATTTGTGCGGTTATGAGACAAGATCTCAAAGGATGCGCGCACACACGGGTTTGATTGGACAAGCTTCTCAATGCAAAGGGAACAACAGGAAATGGGAGCAGTTTATACAGCTACTTAGCCTAATTGTCTTGGCTTAAGATCAGCAACCGGACGCGAGTGTAAAAACTTATTGAAACGGGCATTCAGAGTCTTTGAAATGGGCCTATAAAAAGCGCACTGATTCAACTTCAACTGGCACCCACTGAAACTAAAACAATCGTGTCTCCGCTGTCCACTGAAAAGCATGCTCCATATTGTGATTTTATTGTGTTTTTTTTTTTTGCTGGCCAAAATACACCACTTTTTGAATTATTATTATTATTATAATTATTATTATGATTAAAATTTTAAAGAAATCATGTGACTAATGAGAGTCAGCACTTTTGAATGAAAAATGAATGGGCCTCTATCCAAATGGTGTGATTTTGTTGTTTTTGCTGTTGTTGTTTGCACAAACTGTTAACTTTGTTAAGGATCTCCCTAAGTTACTAGCATCCAAATTACGAACAGTTGTAGATACGAATAAACACTGACCAACCTTAAATGTTCGGAAAATGCCGTATTTTTAACCTCACGCCATATCATATCAGACTGCAGAAGATCTCTACACACATGCACGCACGCACGCACACACACACCCCCACCCACACACCCCCACCCACACACACACACACACACACACACACACACACACACACACACACACACACACACACAAATACTGTTTATATAGTCAAACCTCGGTTTTCAAACGTCTCTGTTCTCAACCAAATCAGTTTTCGACCAGAAAATTCGAGATTTTTACGCCTCAGATTACGACTGAAAACTGGTTTTCGACCAAACTGAGCAAACCCGAATACGCTCCTAGACTCCTCTCGGCTTCCTTACACGAAGAAGTGACGCTTCCTCGTGTAGCGTTCATTGTGAGCAGACGTGTTTGTTGTGTTTTACGCAAATCTGACTGTATTTTGTTATTTCTGCATAGTGTATTAGCCCCTAATCATAGTCTAATAAAATAGTGTCGGATTTTGAACAAATCACTTTTCGAACAGCCTTCTGGAACGGATTATGGTCGAAAACCGAGTTATGACTGTGTGTGTGTGTGTGTGTGTGTGTGTGTGTGTGTGTGTGTGTGTGTGTGTGTGTGTGTGTGTGGTGGTG